AATTTTGCTCCCACCAATTTTTCCATCTTGGCCCAAAGATAAATGGGAAGCTCACTTCCTAGTGTGGAGAGGAAAATATTTCCCCCTCCTACTCTGGCAGACATAATATTAAGATCCTCATTGCTTTGTAAGGTGGGATGGAGGGAATAGACAAAGGGCATTGGAAAAGCCAAAAGAGAGAGAAGTTTCTCTATACAGAATATAATGATGCCCTCATTCTACTGGATTTTAAAACCAGTGATTTCCTGTTGTAGTTTCCTTCGTGTTACTGTATATGGCCTATCTATAAACATCATTGACCAAATTCTCAGCTGGTGTATATTGGCATAGCTCCAAGTCAATGAAGCTATGTCACTTTACAGTGGCTGAGGATCAGGCCCCATAAGAATGTCTCCACCCAGCCTCACCGTTCATTCTCCCACACACACTAGTAGAGTAACTTACTGTTCCTCAGATTTAAGATGAGCAAATCTACTAAGAAAGTCTTGTGACTTGCAAGCTTTGCTGAAAAAAATAGCAAAGATCATTTCAGCATGAAATATCAAAGATATTAGGAAAGTTTCTTTAAATGCAAGTGTATTCCAGTCCTGGAGCGCAGGATAAGCTCAGTTACTTCATTAGGAGGCGTAGTCAGGTCAGGTGAGAGTTCGAAGCGGAGGAGGGTTAGGGCAAGAGCCACTTTCAACTCAACCATGGAAAACTGCTGCCCGATGCAGTTCCTGAGAAGGGAAGGAAAAACACTCAGTCTGTACGGGAGATTTAAGGGCTAAGTCATTAATGGTCTGATTCAAACCCACCGAAGCGTAAAGAGAGGAAGCTGCTCTAGTGGACAGGGAGTGAAGGGGAGTCTGGGTTCCATTACTGACTCTGCCACTGAGTCACGTCCCTGTTCTGTACCTCAGTTTCCCCTCCAAGCCTTTGACTATTTTGATTGTAAGCTCTTCCAGGCAGAGTCTACTGCGGTGGCCCCCACCTTGACTGACATATCGAGGACTGACTCAGGGACCTCCAGAGCTAAAAGCATGAACTCATACAGCTTGAGATAAATACCTGGGCTCTCTAAGTGGGATTGTAACAGACGAGTAGCTTCTGCGGATTGGGCACAGAGGGGAACGTCTATCACACGCTCATCAGTGGTTACCCTGTCTCTTCCTATGTGTATGTACAGGTCCTAGCACAGTGGGGCCCCGTAATATTGGTTAGTGCCTCTAGGTACGACTGTAATAAAAATAATATATTTATAGTCAATGGACTTGGGATCAAGCCCTAAAGGACAATCTAAGATAATCATCACTTCTGAGAACAATTAGAGGTATACGAGGTAATTTTTTCTCCTCTCATTGTAGTTTCCAATTTTCTGGTTCTAGGTTTCACACAATTAATTAATTAATACGTTACCGTGGTCTAGCAGCAAAGGGCATAAAGGCGAAGGAATGCTGATCAGACAAGTTATCTTGTGAAAATCTCAGGGGGTCAAACACCTGGAAGAAAAGATCACTTGTACTCTAAAGACATTCTGTGACAAAGCTACTGCTGGGTTTGGCAACTGTGTTCACACAGCAAGGTCCCATTTCTTCCCTCGGCTAGTTAGATGATCCCCCATCTCCTCTGTAACTGAGGGTACAATTGAGCCCCATTCTGCACTGACTGGCATCCAGGGGTAGGCACCACCATGTTGCACGACGGACACTTGACAAAATTATCGGACTGAGTGACGGACATTGGGGTGGGGGGGGGGGTTATGTCATTCAGTCATCATTCAACCTGCAAAATAACGCACAATTTTCCACATTGAAAAAAAAGCCCAGTAACCTAGCTAGCTAGCTAATAATAATAATAAATTCAACTCACTTTAGTGTTTTGAATGTACCTCACCACTGCAGTCAATATTTTTTTGTGGGATGGGGCATTGAAATAAATATTCATCCTAAAATCATATATCCAGTGCATTGTTGCCACTACTTTTTTAGTGGTTTCAGAGTGGTAGCCGGGTTAGTCCGTATCAGCAAAAACAACGAGGAGTCCTTGTGGCACCTTAGAGACTAACAAATTTATTTGGGCAGAAGCTTTCATGGATTAGAACCCACTTCATCAGATGCATGGAGTGGAAAATACAGGGGCAGGTATAAATAGATTAAAAGATGGGAGTTGCCTTACCAAGTGTGAGGTCAGTCTAATGAGACAATTCACTTAACAGTAGGATACCAAGGGACGAAAAATCACTTTTGAAGTGGTAATGAGAGTGGCCCATTTCAAACAGTTGACAAGAAGGTGTGAGAAACAGTAGGGGGAAATTAGTATGGGGGAAATTAGGTTTAGGTTTTGTAATGACCCAACCACTCCCAGTCTTTATTCAGGTCTACTTTGATGGTGTCCAGTTTGCAAATTAATTCCAGTTCTGCAGCTTCACGTTGGAGTCTGTTTTTTAAGTTTTTTTCTTGAAGAATTGCCACTTTTAGGTCTGTTACAAACAGACCCCCAACATGAAGCAAATGCTCACCAGCAGCTGATCTCAGTTGCATTGGTGTCAATCCTGAATAGCTCCATTGAGGTCCATAAATGTATTCTGGATTTACACTGGTCTGACCGAGAGAAAAAACTAGCCCTAAGCCTACATCCGAAACAAACAATCCAATAAAGAACTTCCGCATATATAGAGCCCAGACTGTACTTTTAAGGCCTGGCCCAAGATGCTGGTGGTACATAGCCGCACTGCCCCAACGGAGGGTGGGGAGGGATGGTGTAGCAAGTTCCTTCCATTGTGCCCAGACAAAAAGAAACTAAACATCACAAGGAGCAAAGTAACGTACCTCTGGATCTTTCCATACCGCGGGGTTTCTGTGAAGCGCGTAAATGTGCAGAGACACTAAGCTACCTGGTAAGAATGAGAGAAAAGATCTCATGAGAAGAAAATCACCTGCTACAATATTTTCTTTCCATTTATATTTTTGTATTCCTGCCCCACCACACGATTACTGACGCTCGGAAGTTAGCCATTATTGATTGGCTGACTGGTTCTTTGTAATCCCGTCATATGGCATCAGGGCACAGTAAAGCAGCCTTTTAATGACAAATGTCATACCCAGTTATAGAATCACAGAAATGTAGGGCTGGATGGGACCTCAAGAGGTCATCTAGTCTATCCCCACATGCTGAGGCAGGATTAAGTATACCTAAGCCACCCCTGACAGGTGTTTGTCCAATCAAGTCTTAAAATCCTCCAAAGATGGGTATTCCACAACCTCCCTTCGAAGCCTATTCCAGTGCTTAACTATCCTTTTAGTTAGAAAGTTTTTTCTCAAGACTAAACATGCCCAATTTCTTTTAACTTTTCCTCAGAGGTCGGTTTTCTAAACCGTTTATCATTCATGTTGATCTGTTCTGGACTCTCTCCAATATGTCCACAATTTTCTTAAAGTGTGGTGCCCAATACTCCAGCTGAGGCCTCACCAGTGTTGAGTACAGTAGAAAAATGATCTTCCTTGTCTTATTTATGACACTCCTGTTAATACATCCCAGAATAGTATTAGCTTCTGCACAATGGCATCACATTGTTGGCTTATATTCAATTTGTGATCCGCTATGATCTCAGATCCTTGGCAGTACCACAGCCTAGCGCAGCATTTCTCAAATATGAACATAAGAACATAAGAACGGCCGTACCGGGTCAGACCAAAGGTCCATCTAGCCCAGTATCCTGTCTACCGACAGTGGCCAATGCCAGGTGCCCCCAGAGGGAGTGAATCTAACAGGCAATGATCAAGTGATCTCTCTCCTGCCGTCCATCACCACCCTCTGACAAACAGAGGCTAGGGACACCATTCCTTACCCATATGCAGTCAGTGTGGACGCATGTGGCCACCAGGGACTTTTCTTGTGGACATAGCCTCCTGGGCAGTGATTGGGGGGGAAGGGGTGGCAAAGCAGCGGCAGTTGTTGGGCCCAGCCTCCCTCTGGAGACACAAAAGCTGGAGGGACAAATAGCCAGTGAGATTCCCAGCTTCCCAGGGCTGGTGGGGTCAGTCTCCAGCCATCAGGCTTCAGACTTAAGGCTCCATTCCCCGGCCACAGTAGCGGGCTCTGGCCCCAAGGTCACCCCACCACCAACCCCCCGGCCCTCGCTGTCTCCCCCAGTGCTCCTGGTCCCTGCAGCCTCCATACCTACCTCCCCATCCAGGGCTTAATTTGCTTGCCAGGACTGAGTAAGTCTGCTGTGAAACGTGATATTTGTATGTCTGTTAATACAGGTCTGTCGCATCTTAGGCGCATTTAACATGTGCGATTTCAGCTTTATGCGGTGGGCAAAAACAAAACAAAACAAACAAAAAAGAGAAAAATAACAATTTAAATACTGTTTCTGTAGTGCGGGCAATTCCGCCCGCCATTACACTCAATGTAATTTTGACTATATGCGATTTTCGCTTTAGGCGCTGACTGCAGAACGTAACCCCAGCGTAAGATGAGACAGACCTGTATCACGTTTCACAGAAGACTTAGTAACTAGGATGTCTTAAAAAAATAGCAACCAAAAAAGCAAAAGACATAACAAGAAAAAAAATAAGAACGTGCAAAGCCCCTTATTTGTGTTTCTATCCTGTTTAGATTCAGTAAAGAATAGAGACAACTGAACAATATTTTTATTTTTGAGTCTGCAAAAAAAATCCTACATAAATAAAATACATCTGTGCATATTTATTTGTTTTTTCTAAAGTTAATTAAGTATTTTCAGAAAAAATTGTCAGAGCGGCCACCAAAAAAATTGTTGTGAGAATCCCTGGCCTAGCGAGTTATTCCCCAATTTGTAGTTGATTTTTCCTTCCGAAGTGCAGTACTTGTCTGCATTGAATTTCATCTAGTTGATTTCAGACCAATTCATCAAAATCCTTTTAAATTCTACTCCTGTCCTCCAAGTGCTTGCAACCCCTCCCGCCTTGGTGTCAGCTGAAAATTTTATGCGTACTCTCCCCTCCAGTATCCAAGTCATTAATGAATCATTGAATAGTAGCATACACCCCGTAGTACCCCATGAAATACGTCCTCCCAGTTGGACAGTGAGCCATTAAGAACTACTCTTTGAGAACTGTCTTAATCAGTTGTGCACCCATAATGTAACAGTTTCATCTAGACGACACTTGTTTGTAAAATATCAGAGGGGTAGCCGTGTTAGTCTGGATCTGTAAAAAGCGACAAAGAGTCCTGTGGCACCTTATAGACTTACAGACGTATTGGAGCATAAGCTTTCGTGGGTGAATACCACATGCGTCTGACGAAGTGGGTATTCTCCCACGAAAGCTTATGCTCCAATACATCTGTTCGTCTATAAGATGCCACAGGACTCTGCGTCACTTTTTACTTGTTTGTAAGAATGTCAAGATATATCAAATCTACTGCATCCACCCTATCCACTAGGCCAATAACCTTGTCAAAGAAAGAAATTAAGTTGGTTTGGCATCATAGTTTAATCATTTGTTCCAGAATCTTTCCAAGTATTGAAACTAGTCCGGTCTGTTGTTTCCTTTTTAAAGATAGGTGCTATGCTTAGCCTTCTCCAGTCTTCTGGGACCTCACCCATCCTCCATGAGTTCTCAAATATAATTGCTAATGGTTCCAAGATTGCATCGACTCTTTAAGTCCCTAGAGTGAATTTTGTCAAGCCCTGCCAAGTATGTCCAGTCCATCCACCCAAAGTATTTTTACTGGTATGTGGACATCTATTTATTCATCTATCTAGGCATGTAAGTCACACTCAGCACCACCTTGTCTGAGTGACTTACAGGTCGCTGTATAAATGGAATATAATATAATAAAAGGATAAATGGAAACACAGAAGACAGCTACAAGAATTACTTGAGGTTTGAAAAACGTGGCTTTTAGTGAGAGATTTACAATGTTCAATCTACTTAGTTTATTGAAGAGAGGGTTAAGAGATAACATGGTCACAATCATAGAATCATAGAAGATTAGAGTTGGAAGAGACCTCAGGAGGTCATCTAGTCCAACCCCCTGCTCAAAGCAGGACCAACCCCAACTAAATCAT